GTTGCGTGTACAAGAAGTATATGTGGTGTGTATAGGGAGTATATGTTTAGTATATTAGAAGTTTTTTTTTTGTAAATTGTTCGGTATATATTGCATGCATATAGAGTATATGTTTAGTATATATTCTGTATATTTAGAAGATTTTTTTGCATAAAGAATATAAACAAGCTATTATAATATGTTTATAAACTATATGTATACTTTTATTTATTAGAAAAAAGGAACGCATAATGTGTTGAAGGAAGATATTTTTTTTTCATTGCAATATATATTGAATATATACTAACATAAACGCAATATATACCATATGAGCAATCGTTAGTATTTTTCTGTGTATTTTTAGTATATTTTCGGTATATCCTCAAATGAACAATATTTATAAAAAAAATTATATTAAAGTTAATAATTTAAAGCCAATATATTTTTAGTATATTTTTTGTATATCCTAAAATGGACAATATTTAAAAAAAAGATATATATACCATTTAAAAAGATATATATACCATTAAAATACGATTACAATAAACAATATATATACCATTAAAACAATATATATACCATTAAAAAACTGAAAAATCAATTTAATGAATAATCAAACATAGAACAAAAAATATAATATAAAAGAACGAACCAGAATATTTTTTCTGTACATGAACCATATTTTTTTATTATTCTTTGGAGATAATCATTCGACACATGAACCGATTTTGTTTTCTTTTTGTATTTGTAACATAATCTTTCTCTAACAATTAAGGGTATTTGTAACGGAATGTATGTGATAATTAAGGGTAGAAGACTTTATTTGTATAGTTAGTTACTTGAAGTATATCTCTAATAAAATTCAAGATTTTAGGTTTGAATACAATTTAAATTGTTCCACTTGTAAAAATGTAATAATTTGTAATTATGATTGGAAGGGTGAAAATTTTCCATATATTTTCACGCCTATTGTTCAATGAACTTGAATTATTCAACCAAGAGAGCAATTTTCATTTGCGTGCGTGAGACAAAAATGAGCCCAAACCTTAAATTCAACATGTTTGGCCCAAAACTAAGGATGGCTCATTTTTGGCCCAATATTATACATATATTTGTACTGTATACATATATCCCTAACGCTCATGCTCTGTTAAACTGGTTCTCCTCGTATGCTCCGTCTCTTCTTGCTGTGTTCATCAATTGTCCCAAAATCAGGTGCGATTTTTGTGGGTTATTTTGTGTTTCAAAAATTGTCGCTCCGTCTCTTCGCCTATTTATTTTTTTTTGTGGGTTATTTTGTGATTTGTTCATCAATCGCTCCGTCTCTTCGCCTATTTATTTTTTTTTGTTAAGTAAATTAGATTTCTGGTAAAGGATTTCTGGTAAAGGATTTCTGGTAAAGGATTTCTGGTAAATGATTTTATTGTTTCCTTGAATCAAATGCCTTGTGTTAAGTAAATTACCTCTACAAGCGTTTTATTTATTTAGAGATCTTTGCGATAACTAATGTCGATTGGAATGTAAGTATTGGTAAGACTAATAGCCATTGATCCTTTTATTTCTAGTACCATTTAGGATAACATTGTACATGGATTATGTTATGCCCTTGTAAGTTGTTATATGTTGGATGTCACCGTGGAAACGTAAGGTGTTGCCCTTCTTTCAGTAACTGTTCTGATGATAAAGCTCGAAACAGTGTTTTTTTATTTCAGGAGGATCCAGTGCTTTTGGTTCCTCGGAATGGGAATCACATGGTTTCTTTAATGTACCAAATGAACAATGTATAATAAGAACTGTAAATAAATTTTATCTGTGTGGGTATCTATTTCAGCTAAGGTTACATGGATACGGACGTGCCATCATTTTTGGCTATCATATCCAGCTCCGAGGATGATTGGCGTGAATGGCTGGTACTTTCATTTATTTTTCTTTTTTCAAAATTTGTTCTTATTTGTATTTTGTTTTGTTATATTAGAGGCTTTTAATGTGCAATTGTTATATGCGTATTATAAATTATTATTAACCTTTGTTGTAGCCGTTGCCGGCTGAAATATACAAAGAGTACGATGGGTTGCTACCACGTGCTTGTCGGTTGACCACAATCGATGGCGAGGAATACGAAGCAACAATTGGATTAAAAAATGGGCAATTAAGTCTAATTGAAGGATGGGAAAACTTTATGGATTCAGAGTCTATTGAGTACGGTTTCCATTTGGAGTTCTATCGGCATAGTCTGTTCGATTTTGAAATCGAGATTATGGATGAGAATGGATGCGAAAGAGAGCCAATATGTTCATTTACTCTGGACATGAAGAGAACACATGTGGAGCGTGCAAGGCTGGTAATTCGTATAACCTTGTTACTCTC